TCTGCAGCAGCGCTGGTTCGCTCTCTCTCTCTTCTCACAGGCTCAGAGACAGCAGCGGGAGCCATTAGCTCCAGCTGCTGTCAGTCAAATACTGTGAGGAGGGGGGCGCAGCTGAGCCATGCTATGTGTGTCAATGGATGCGGCTTCCTATGGGGATGCACTGAAAATAGGTGGAGCCGAGAGGGCCAGTGGGGGACCCCAGAAGAGCAGGTCTGGGCCACTCTGTGAAATGGATTAGAGATAAAGAATCTGAATACTCAGTAAGTGATTAAAGTGATTGTAAAGGCTGAAGATTTTTTACATTCTGTGCATGTAGGTAAAAAACTTTCAGTGTACAGCTCCCCCCTCAGCCCCCCAATGTTTGCCTGAGCCTGATCTTGATCCAGCAATGTGCATGCGAGCAGCAGCAGCTGTCCTAGGTTTCTCCATTCTCATTGGCTGAGCCAAGCATGCAGGAGCGCCCTCTCTCAGCAGAAGAGAGGGTCCGGGAGTGCTAGCGGGGGACCCAAAAAGAGGAGGATCGCGCTGCTCTGTCCAAATCCATTGTATGTATGGATATGTATGTTATGAGTTTGTTAAAGTGTTACTAAACCCAGCACCTTGTATTCACTATATCTGCTCTCCCACAGTACACAGAACAGGGAAGTGCAATTGTTTTAGTAAATATAAACTGCTAAATACATTTTCTCATAAGCAGTTAGATCAGTATTGTGATTTCTATCAGTGTTCAGCAGAGCACTGGTTAAATGTTGTAGGAGGAATTTTCTTTCTGCTCTAGGAGGATGCAAAACCCCTGACCTCTGTCTGGACAGTGCTGATTGGCCCTGTGCTAATCACAAAACTATGCCCTATATTGCAAGAGTCTTCATGGGTATTTTTCTTTCATCTGGAGGAGGGGCTTTCTCAGCCATGCACACCCTCCTGCCTGCATGCCTGTTCTAAGGGCAGATGGATTCCAGGAAGTAAATGCTACATGAATCATCTGCCATCTGCCCTTACTCAAGATGGCTGCAGTTTGAAATGCTAAGGTGGTATTTTTTATGTGATATTTTAATAAAGTAAAGCATAGAGATATGTTTTGCTTTGAATATAAAAAATGAATTAAATAGCATTTTTGGTTTTTGGTACTCAGATACAGTTTAGTTCCTGTTTGAGCAAAAAGGTCGCCTCCCTGTCCCCAGTCCGTAACTGGACATTGAAGGAGCAGCAGATTACCGATGAGTCAACACTTTTCTTTCTCCTCTTAACTAGCTGCATTAAAAAAAAGTTCATATATAACAGTACTGATAATGTTTGCTGGCAGGTCTCCTTTCACATCTTTGCCTACCATTCATATCTCAGTCTCATTGGCAAGCACATAAAAATTTGGACATTCATTTATTTCATGGTGATAGGTTCTACCCCATCTATATCCACTTTGTGTTTTCAATGCCTGCACTAAATTTGGATGAGTTTGTATTTCAAATTTTTGGGCAGGCATGCAAAGCACATTTTTTGTTTTATTTGGACATTCTTTTCCACTTCAATATCCGTTCTGCATGAGTGTTTTAATGAGTGCATTTGCTCAGGGCTTTTTAGAGCTTGCTCACCCAGGCAGAATCACTGCTGGCATATCGGAGCTCGTCTGGCGAGGGGCACAGATACCGTGACATACATTTGAACTGACAGATCAGAGGACACAGAAAACACTCAACCACTATAGCACTGGGATTGGTAGCAGCATTTTAGTTGCTAGTTGGGAGAGGTATATAGGTATAAGAGCTCAGAACTGGGAGCATAATGCATACCTTGTTCTAAAACTGATTAGGTTGCTGCTGATCTCATTAAATACATGAACATTTTATGGCAATAAAGACTTTTTTATTGTATGTATTACACCATAAAGAATTCAGAGGACATATCAGTTGCCGATGAAAAAAGGTGATTTTACCTCTATATTGGTCCAAGCAAGTGTCATGCATTTAGAGCCCTTGTACCCCACCTGCAGCCGGGGGCCACATGCAGGTCTTGGCCCTTTTTGTACAGCCTTTGGCTGTCCTGCAGACACGAATTTCCCTATCAGCCTTTTATAGTAGTGATTTCTAGCAACCTCATGTAGTATGTCTCCAGGTTATGACTGTCTCCTGATGCATGTCCCTAGTCTCCAGTAACACTTATAGCGTGCTCACAGTCTCTGACAGTCTCCTGCAGCATGTCCACAGTCTCCGTCCATCTCTTGTATCATTTCTGCAATCTCTGACCATCTATTGTATTATGACCACAGTCTCTGACCTTCTCTTGTATCAAGTCTGCGATCCCTGACCATCTATTGTAATATGTACACAGTCTCTGACCATCTCTTGTATCATCCTGCAATCTCTGACCATCTATTGTATATGTCCACAGTCTCCATCCATCCTTGTATCATGTCTGACCCTGACCATCTATTGTGTTATGTCTACAGTCTCTGACTATCTCTTGTATCATGTCTGCAGTCTCTGACCATCTGTATTTTGTCCACAGTCTCTGACCATCGCTTGTATCATTATTAATATTATTATTATACAGGATTTATATAGCGCCAACAGTTTTCTCAGCACTTTACAATATAACGGATGCTGTCCATCATACTGCCCCAAATTACATCACCAACCTAATATCAAAGTACCACCCAACACGCACACTCCGCTCCTCTCAAGACCTCCTTCTCTCTAGTTCCCTGGTCTCCTCCTCCCATGCCCGCCTCCAGGATTTCTCCAGGGCGTTACCCATCCTCTGGAACTCCCTACCCCAATCCATCAGACTATCACCTACTCTCCTCTCATTTAGGCGCACCCTGAAAACCAACCTCTTCAGGGAAGCCTACCCCACCCCCTGCTAATTGCCAACCTCCTCCACTCTTCCTACCACTCCATCCCCCAAAGCTATCTCCTCCTGTACCACTATCCCCTCCCTCCTAGATTGTAAGCTCCAAGGAGCAGGGCCCTCGAACCCCTCGTGTATCACATTGTATTGTTACTGTACTGTCGCATGTACTGTCCCCCATTGTAATGTACAGCGCTGAGCGAACTATTGGCACTTTATAAATACTGTATAATAATAATAACGGGAGACAATACAGCAACAATCCAGTTCAATACAAGAGGGATAGGAGGGCCCTGCTCCTTGGAGCTTACAATCTGTCATGTCTGCAACCTCTGACCATCTATCTACTGTATTATCTCCACAGTCTCTGACCTTCTCTTGTATCATGTCTGCAATCTCTGACCATCTACTGTATTATGTCCACAGTCTCTGAGCATCTCCTGCATTATGTTCAGTCTCTGACCATCTCATGTACAGTATCATGCCCATAGTCTTTGACGATATCCTATTGTGTGTCTGCTGTTTCCAATAATGACTATTCACTAAATGTTATTTACAGCCCTTTGGTGATGTCGACTGCCACACTTGAGGATCTTCATATCAACAAAGTTAAAGTGTTGTAAAGGCTGAAGGATTCTTTACCTTCATGCATTCTATGCTTGAAGGTAAAAAACCTTCTGTGTGCAGCAGCTCCCCCCAGCCCCCCCAATACTTACCTGAGTGTCATTGCGATCCAGCGAAGTGAACGATAGCCTCGGCTGTCACTGGTCTCTGCCTCCTCATTAGCTGAGACAGCAAGCAGGAGCCATTGGCTCCCACTACTGTCTATCACAGCCAGTCAGCCAGTGAGGAGAGAGAGGGGGCAGGGCCAAGCCGCAGCTCCGTGTGTGAATAGACATAAAGTAGCGGGTGCCCCCATAGCATGCTGTTTGCTGTGGGGGCACCTGACAGACAGGAGGAGCCAGGAGAGCCTGCGGGGGACCAGAGAAGAGGAGGATCCGGCTGCTCAGTGCAAAACCACTACACACAGCAGGTAGGTATAGACATGTTTGCTATTTTACAACAAAAAAAATGAACCTTTAGCTTTAACCACCACTGATTTAGAGCATTCATCCAGATTGTGTGCAAAACCTGGTATGTTTTTTTTTCAGCATGCTGCCATAAATGTTAGTACCACATGGTGCAAAATCCAGCCTCTTCCAGCCACAGCAGTTTTCAGCTTCTCAGAGAGTTTTACAGGCTGCTGGCGGCAGAGCTGGATGGTGCGCCTTTGCCTTCCACCCACACCAGAAAGCTGGGATTGCATGCCCCGGGGCTAAAAGCCCAGTGTGCATGAGGCCTTAGCAAACAGTCAGATTCTCTGCATGCTGCAAAGAACCCTTGCTCTATGTGTGGAAGCAATGGTCTCCCTGCAGCGGTCTGGCACACAATCTGCTAAGTCTGGGCTTGTGTTCCCCATTCGGCAGAGAGCATGAGTTTTGCTAATTTTTTTTTATTTATTACAGGTACTTATATAGCGCCATCAATTTACGCAGTGCTTTACATCTATATTATGCATTCACATCGTCCCTGCCCTAAAGGAGCGTACAATCTAAGGTTCCCAACTCACATTCATACATACACATACTAGGGCCAATTTAGATAGGATCCAGTTAACATACCAGCATGTCTTTGGAGTGTGGAAGGAAACTGGAGTACCTGGAGGAAACCCATGCAGGCACAGGGAAAACATGCGAATTCGCAGCAGGTAGTGTCATGGTTGGGATTTGAACCAACAACCCTAGTGTTGCAAGGCAGAGGCGCTAACCACCAAGTGGAGAACTGTGGCTCTGACTCAACAAGAGGTGTGCCAGACCTCTGCAGAGAGACACCTTCTTCCACACAGACTGCAAGTGTCCTTTTCTGCAGAATGAGGGCAGGGGACAGGACTCTACACAGGATGTGGCTGCTTTCCCTAAGACTTTGCACAACTTTGGTTTTGTTGCACATGGAATGTCTCTAGCTGATATAAGTTGAAAGTTCAGTTGGACTTTAAGTACTAGTAATATTTTCTAGTGTGTGTAGAGATTTGAGGTAATGGAAAGCTGTCTTATTGATTATGGGAGATACCGTGGAACCAAAATAAAGATAATCTTTTCTTTTTCTTTGTTTAAGGCATGGCCTTCCCTGTTGATATCTTGGATAACTACAGCCATGATGAACTGGAGAGTTTGTCGGAAGATTATTTGTCATACTTAAGGTGTGCTGATCCTGATAACCCGGAGTACTTCAGCCTGCGAGATGGACGAGAGGTAAAAGTTCTTTGAATAGCACTAGTGGTGCACCGAAATGACAATTCTGGTGCTGAAACCAAAAATTCAAAATGCACTTGGCTGAAAACCCAAACCGAAATGCGCAGTTTTTAAAAATGAATATATATATTTTTTGGAAAAAAATATACTTTGATTAAAAAAAAAAACACAATATATACCCCAATTTTTTTGTAAAATATGAAAGAGGATGTTATGGCGAGTAAATAGATACCCAATAAAAAAAAAATGGCTGGAACCAGAAGTGACATTGCTCTGGTCCTCCAAGGGTGTAGAGATGAGTGGAGGCCATCTTTCCTTCACTAATCTCTATGCCCAGCACCAGGATCGTTCAATTGTTTCTCAGGTAAGGGTGAGAACTACCAAGTGGCAGGCGGCGGCGAGGAGCAGCATAGGCGAGGTGGCAGGGTTTTTTTCGGCACCTGTATTGGTGCTTTTTTACATATCGGCCAACGGCTGATAGGGGTGTTTTCGGCCAAAGGGTTTCGGCCACTGAAATTTCGGTGCACCCCTAGATAGCACATTTCATAAAACCGACTTTAACACCCCGGTCACATCGGGTGGGACTTGGCATGCGATTTGCATGCCACGCGACTTGCAAATCCTATGCCATGTCGCACCCTATTGTCTGCTATTAGAGCTGTCATATCGGTGCAGTCCCGACTTGGTCGAGGTGCACCGATTTCTAAAGTAGTACATGCACTACTTTTGGTGCGATTTGCATAGACATATGTCAAATGTCTTGCAGATCGCACCTGAAATCGTCAACTCACCCGACTTTGAAATCATGCGACTTCACTGTAAGTCGCATGATTTTAAAGTTGGACTTGATGTGACTGGAGAGTTAGTTCTTGTTTATACTGTTGTTCTTATGTGTACACCCTTGTGAGGGCCATCTTTTGCCAGCATGGGATGAACATGTGTTCTGTGCATCTGCATGCAAGCAGTCCCGTTCATGTCAATTGCCATGCAATGGCTGCTTTGAAGACAGCCGCTGTTCCCAATTTGACACCCGCGCAGGTGCATATCTCCAAACTCACACTGTCTGCATTTGAGGACACACGCCTGCATGCACCCATGTGCACACGGATGTCAAATTGGGAGCAGTGGTTGTGCATCCCAATGGACATGAATAAGACCGCCTACATGGATGAACGGAACAGCTGTGCAGATAAAACTTGACTCTTACATGGGTTTATACTTAAGTACTGCCTGTGAAAAAGGCCTTATTGTTGGTTAAACCTGGATCTGGTACAGCCTATATTATCCCAGGAAACTCCATAGCACATTAGGTATCCAAAACCCAAACTAAAAACTTACCACACAATATGCATTCTGACTTTACTCTTGGGGTGCTTTGTGTATTTCCTCTAGATCCCTTGTTCCCCTCCCTCCCCCTCTCTGTTGGGGTCCCCCAAGGCTCTGTCCTTGGGCCCCTCCACCTCTATGCTGACGACACCCAAATTTACCTCTCCACCCCCCACCTCACCCCCTCATTCTCTGGTCGCATCGCCCACCTCCTAAACGACATATCAGACTGGATGTCACTCCACTTCCTCAAACTTAACCTATCCAAAACCGAGCTCCTGGTCTTCCCCCCACCCTGTGCACCCCCCCCCCCCATCCTCTCCATCACTACTAACAACGCCACCATCTCTCCCACCCCACACGCCAAAGTCCTGGGTGTCACCCTGGACTCTCACCTCTCCTTCGTACCCCACATCCAACTGCTATCTAGATCTTGCAGGGTCCACCTCCGCAACATCTCCAAGATACGCACATTCCTCACCCCAGACACCACCAAACAACTCGTACACTCCCTCATCATCTCACGCCTGGACTATTGCAATTCCCTCTCACTGGCCTACCCAAACAAACACTATCCCCACTCCAGTCGATCCTAAACTCAGTGGCTAGACTCATCCACCTCACCAACCGCTCCACATCTGCCTCCCCCCTCTGCCAATCCCTTCACTGGCTCCCGATTGCACAACACATTAAATTCAAACTGCTAAGTCTGACCTACAAAGCCATTCACAATGCTGCCCCAATCTACATAACTGACCTGATACCCAAATACTACCCTACCCGTGCCCTCCGCTCCTCACAGGACCTCCTACTCTCTGGCTCCCTGGTCTCCTCCTCCCACGCTCGATTGCAGGACTTCTCCAGGACTTCCCCCATCCTCTGGAACTCCCTACCCCAATCCATCAGACTGTCGCCTACCCTCCTCACCTTCAGGCGCACCCTGAAAACCCTCCTCTTCAGGGAAGCCTACCCCAACCTCACCTAACACCCGACCTCACCTAACAACTAATCTCCTCCACTCCTCCCACCACTCCATCCCCCACAGCCAACTCCTCCTGTGCCACCTTCCCCTCCCTCATAGATTGTAAGCGCGAAAGAGCAGGGTCCTCGAACCCCTCGTGTAGTGTATTGTTACTGTCTTGTCTCATGTTATGTCCCCCTTGCTACTGTACAGCGCTGAGCATACCCATTGGCGCTATATAAATACTGTATAATAATAATAGATCAGTGCAGTAATCCATTAGGAAACTTTGCCTCTGTGTAGAAGCTTCCTGTATTAAAGACCAATCACTTCTGCTCTCTGTCCTTGTGCAGAGCAACTTGCCTTGCATCCTCCCACTCCTGTAGTTTTCCGCAGGTAGTCAGTAGTGGGTGGAGCCTGCTATGCCCCCCCCCCCCTTTCACCCACAAATCTGCTGTCTGCATGTGTCACAGGGATGATGCCACAGATACTGTTACAAGGTAATATCTGGGTTTGCAAATGTATTTGGTGCTTTTATACCCCTTGTGTGTTTTGAGACATACAGTGCACTCATAAAGTATTCAGACCCCTTCACTTTTTTCAGTGTTGTTATGATTAACCCCTTCACGTATAAGGATAAAACAAATCTTAAAGCCTAAGCAAAATTTTACAACTTTGTCATGTGTTAGTAAAACCGTACATGTCATCACAACTACTTTGTACATCCAGGTGAATTATACCTTGTTTCTTTCAGGACAAATTGGGCTTTCATTTGGTGGTAAGTGGTAATGGATATCCCCTGATGTTTTTTTATTATCAAAGGAAAATTGGCCCAAAATAGTAAAAAAAATGTTTTTTAAATGTAGCTGTGTGTTTCTTGTTACTACCATAACCTACCACCAAAAAACAACCCAAAATAAAAATTTCCAGCTCTTGATGATCTCAGCGATACCATATATGTGTATGTTATTTGTTGTTTGGACCTATAGTACAGCCCAGAAACAATAGTGCGCATTGTGTTTTTTGACCTAAAATACACTGACACTAACAATGGGGGCAGGCTTCACAGTGACTGATCAGTGTGATAGCCAATCAGAGGCAATCACAGCAGTCATATGACCTGGAATCGGGAGTCCCAGGTCCTGATTGTTAGAACGGGACCCGGGGCTCTCAGTGACACCCCAGTCTTACAGCACACTCCCAGCACAAAGACAGGTACACAAATATGCGTGCCAACGGAAAAAAAGCCTAGTTCTGTGAGGCCGCATATTTGTTTTATGTCAGCGCAAAGGGCTAATGAATGAATAATGAGAAAAAAAATAATTTAAACAACTGTAGTATCAGGCTGCAACATAACAAAATTGAAAAAAATGAAGGGGGGTCTGAATACTTTATGAATGCACTGTATATATAAATGAACGTTTGCGTGCCCACAGGCACATGGCAGAAGTCTTAAAACCTTGTCCAATTGCAGTACAAGCAGCATTGTCATTATAACCGGACAGTACTCTCTTTTTGTTCATTTTTTTTTTAATACTTTGTTTTCTTTTCAGGTGCTAATTAGTCTTTCTACAGTAGGGTATGTGCCTCTTTATGGAGGAGATCAGGCACAAAAACTTCTGGCTCTCTTTGCACCTGAAGATACTCTGACAGGTATGATATGAGCAACACACTAGTATTAGTTGGCTAAGCTTTGTGCTTCTGAAGAGTTGACATACTTTATTCTGAATTGGATTTATCTTGCTTTTTATCTTGCTTTTTTTTTTTTTTTTTCTTTTTAGTTGACTCTTTATTTTGACTTCTTCATATAGCCTAATAAAGAAGTCATAGGACCCATGTCTGTAATTTTTTTACTCTGCAAGCATTGCTACTTCAAGTGAGTTGGCTATTGTGGCCCCAGAATTTAGATCTCTGGTTCTCTAGAATTCATATTCATATTCAAAACCACAGAGTAGCAGTAATTATAGTTTATGGATTTTGCTGGAGGCTAAGGCAGGGTGGAAGGAAGGAAAATTGCTCCTTTTTCCCATCAACGCAGTCAGTGTTGATAGGGGAATGCCTCCCGCAGCGCTATTGTGTTCTGCCTCGGGGAGCCTTCCTGGCAGCAGAGCACAGTTATAGTCGCCGGCAGTGATCGCATACACAAAATCAGACAGGTTGGTTGTACTGAAATGGATCGATGGATTGACTTAAGCACAACCAACTGGTCCATATATGAATCGAATCTCAGCTGGTCCCTGCTGAGCTGGCTGAGCTTTGATCCATCTATGGCCAGCTTAAATAGTTGGTGATCTGTCCTTTGTATTCTACTGAGCAGTGGGAAGCAAGAGTTTGCCATTTATTGAAACTTAAAGCAGAACTAAACCCTCCTGTCCATTACAGTCAACGAAGCTGCGATCTTTACTTCAGTTTGATATGTAGTTTCCATGGTGCTGCACATTGATCAGTTAGGATATAGCCATTTGATGGTTTGACAGTACGGTTAAGAGCAAAAGCAGATGTGACAGTTGAGAGCATGCCTTGAAGATAACTGTTTTGGGAAACAGTTAAAAATGATGGGTTTAGTTCCACTTTAAGAACACCTTTTAAATTGCACATTAAGTTATGTCAGAGTGAGTTGGCAGGCAGTTTATAGCTAAATGTGTACAGTTGTAGTATGCAAGTCTTTGCCAGTTTAGAATTTCTGGTTGTAAGTGTTGCTATTCTTCCATAGCTGTGGCTTTGTATCTTGCTCATCAGTGGTGGACAGTTGATGATACAGTGAGAACGTCCAAAACATCCCGGGATGGCTTGCAGCAGGTAAAGTCTTGAATAGTACTTGAACAGCTATGGACAGTAGCAGTAGAAAATATTCATATAAACCTATTGTTCTCTGGTGGAAAGGGAATTAATGGGGGTTGGAAGTCATGGCTACTTCAGCATTGCCTTAACCACTTGCTCTCCGGAAGGTTTTACCCCCCTTCCTGACCAGGACATTTTTTGCTATTTGGCACTGCACTACTTTAACTGACAATTGCACGGTCATGCAACACTGTACCCAAATTCCATTTATATAATTTTTTCACATAGAGATTTCTTTTGGTGGTATTTGATCGCCACTGGAGTTTTAATTTCTTTTATATACATTTTGAAAACAAATATTTTTTACTTTCAGCTATAAAACATATCCAATAAAAAATAAAAAAAAAATTCTTCATAAATTTAGGTCAAAATGTATATTGCTATATGTCTTTGGTAAAAATCCCTAAAAGTGCATGTTTATTGGTTTGCATGAAAGTTATAGCATCTACAAACTATGGGATATATACTGGATTTTTTATTTATTTATTTTTTACTAGTAATGGTATTGATCGATGACTTATAATGGGACTGTCATAGTGCGGTGGACAATCTGACACTAACTGAATCTTTGTGGGAACCGGCTAACTGACACTAACATCACCAGTGACACTAATACAGTGATCGGTGCTAATACTGCATACTGTCACTGTACTAATGACATTGGCTGGGAAGGGGTTAACATCTACTGGCAATCAAGGGGTTTACTGTGTGCCTAACAAGTGTTAATGTGTTTAATATGTGCTGCTTTAACTAATAGATCTTACTGTTTTTTTTCCTGCTTAGCAGAAAATGAAAAAAACAGCAAGATCGCCTTCCACTATACATATCTGTGTTGTTTACCATCACAGAGCTTTATTTGTGAATCATTGATCCAATCAGTGGGTCCCAGCGGTCAGTCTTTGACTGGGACCTGCTGATTGGCTTGTGCTGTAACGAATCACAGCACAGTCAGGTCGGTGGACATTTGTGCGCCCTACCCGTGAGTGCTGATCATGTACCAGGTATGTGATCCAGCGCAGAGAAGCCGCTTTGCCGCTGAACATCTAAGCATCACGGCCTTCTTGTTTGCTGAAGTGGGACAAGATTTCCACGCCTCATCGGTAGATGTTAGTGGAGTGGTGAGTTTCTGGAGCCTCTTTTCTCTGTCCCACTTCCGAAAAGAGGTAAGTTGTATGAGGTGGCTAAGGTAACTTTGTGGGGCTCCCATAGGGAGATCGCCGATGACACAGAACACACATTGTCTACAAAAAAAGGTTTGAATGCGGGTGTGGATATCAAGGTAGGCATCTTGGGACTTGAGGAGAGAGTCATTAAACCTGCACTGAGATGTAGAAGGAACCAAGACTGGGGGCATGAGCAAGAATATAACAGGGTCATGATCTGACCATGGGAAAGTAGGGATCAAGATTTTATGTATGGGATGGCTTCTGGTGCATATCATTTATCAACAGTAGAGTTCAAGGTTATGTTTGTGTCTCCCATAAGGATGAGGGTCCCTGAACTATGGTGAGAGAACACTTTTGAGGAAGTGAGAAAAGAACCTATGCTGGAAACAGTTGGGAGCATAGTAGGCGACCATGGTTACATCATAACCATTCAGGGCTCCTTGGAAGAGCAGACACCTACCAGTTGGATCTGCGATTTTCTTATTGCAGTTGAATTGAAGGTTGCGCCTGAAGGCAATCAGTAACCCACTGTGTTTTTTGGAGCAAAGGCCAAATGAAAGGTGGGAAAGTGAAGAGAGAGATATTTCATAGCAGGAGAGGAGGAAAACCTGGTCTCTTGCAAGCATACTATATCAATCTGACTAGAATTAAGGTAATGAAAACCCTTTGACTGTTTCACCGGGGGGAGTTAAACCTATGGATATTATGTGAGTAGATCTTTAACGAGGTCAGAGCCATAGCCAGGAAATGAGAAGAAGCTGAGCTGGAAGGGTCCAGTAATAGTAGTTAGTGCTGCCAGGGTATTGAGCCATCAAGCGCAAAATGGTTCCATCCCAAGGGAACAATATGTAGAAGAAGAGAATCAAAGAGGGAAGGGAGAGGGGGCAGGAGCAGGAAAGGGACCAAAAGGAGAAAAAACGGGTAAAAGGGAGACGTTCAGTATAAACCACTCCAAGAGTGAGCCACATCTCAAAAAAGATATATAAAGCAGGTAAGCTCTGCTTCTGGACACATGGCTGCACCAGTCCAAAATGGCCTTGGGTGTAGTAGGAGGTAAAAAGGCGGGGGTGTTTTCTGACCAGGTTAGACAACAGGCAGCAGTAAAAAAAGGGGGGATGGGGAAAGGGGAGAAAAAGATGAGGACAAAGTGATTACTCCTTTGAGGATCGGCAGCAGTGTTAAAAATGGGTGGGAGGAACCTGGGTAATGGGCCGCAAAAGGCAGCATGTAAAGCAGTACAATCATGGTAAATCATATTTAGAAGTTATTGAAAACTACATGCAGTGTAACACAAGTGAATAGAGTAGGGGTCTGTCAGGACCTAAGGCAAGCTATTAAAAATTGGTAGTGTTGACCCCACAACCCAATTAGTTGAAGGATGTACACATAAGGTTCACTGAGGAGACCCCCAAGGCCAACCCCAGCAACTGCACACCGGGGGGGACAGGCCATCCATGGAGCCCAGTGGATAAGTTCTACAAAAAACATTGATTAAATCAAAAAGCACTTGTGAGAAGGTACAGGCAGTGGCTTAGTTTGTGGAACATACAAAAAAGTTGGGGAGGTGGGGGGGGGGGGGTGGAGAGAGGGGGTCTGCACGCAGCCATACATTCAAAGCACAATATGAAAACTATCCCCCTCAGGTCAGATCCAATATGGGAGGGTGGGGGCAACTCAAAAGGGGCAGATAAGAAGGAACCTCAGTTCGCTGCCGGTCAGGGTTAAAAGTTCCACAAGGGGAGATGGTAGTGCTGCAAAAATCTTTACACAGAGGTGTAGTTCAGGTGTCTCTCAAGGTTAGGGCAATAGGGTACCAAACAGAGCTCAAACTGAGGGCTTCCATTCGTGGAACAGTCTAAGAAGGAAAATATTAAAAGAGAGGATAAGAAGACCAAACAATATCCATAGTGGTGGAAAGAACATCAATTTTTCCCTCCGTCCACGGTACATGGCAGGGTGATAACAGAGAAGCCTAGTAGGCGCAAAAAAATGGAAAACATGACTTACAGTTCCGGGGCTCGTCCTGGGTCTGAGTGTGAAGAGCCTGATGTTGATGGGGTGTGAGGGAGAGAACTCTTGTACTCTTTTGCCAGGAGCAGCCTGGAAGACTTGTGGGGGGCTGAGAAGAGGCCGAACCAGCTGGGCTCTGGTCAGGGCCGTGAATAAGGGGGTACCACCAGTCCTCCTGTACGGAGCCAAGGCCAGCAGGGGGGCCCAGGCAGCTGGGTGAATTGGATGTGGGCAGGGAGGGTGATCTGCATGGTAGAGGTTAATTACTGGAACCAATCCCCTGTATGGCTCTCTCTGCAGCAGCTGAAAGCCGGCTTCTTCGCTGCCTCCTGCTGGCTTTCAGCTGCTGCAGAGACAGCTATACAGGGGATTGGTTCCAGTAATTGCCCCCTGCTGCACACATTACCATTCCTGAACACCATATGTTTTGCCCTGCTGCCCAGACCCCCCTGTGTGCCCCAATCCCCTCAGTGCTGCTGGTTTCCCTCCTCTCCTTCTCACCAGCAGTTGCAAGCACACAATAGGATCCTTTAGATTGCATAGTGGGGGAAGGGTCCGGTCAATATGTCACATTTACCAGCCCCTTTCATTCCTGAATGAACACAATTAGTGATCGGTGCCGATCATACACTGTTCATTCTTAACTGAAGCATAGTAAACTGTATTGGCTGTCAGGTTGGCTGTATGGGGCCCCATAGTTTCCAACAGCAGCCCTGGCTCTGGTTTCCACCGGTAGATAATAGCAGGCAATTCCAAGATGGTTTGCGCTTCTTCCGGTGAGGTCAATATGTGGCTATGGACCTTGTAGGAGAAAGTGAGCTTGAAGGGAAATCCCTGTAACTGATTTCATCTGCCACTGTTTCACAATGGTGGACTGGGTGAGGCGCAAGAAAAGTTGGTAGTGGTGACCCCTGGAACATTAGATCGGGCTTATTTGATGACAATATCACTTAGCAGACCTTCGGGCTTCTTAGGGCCCAGTGCACAGTGGATGCGGTTAAACTTCAATCTGCCGATGGGAATGGCTGGCACAAGTTATTGTAATAGAGCGGTAAAAGAGGAGGTGATATCTTTAATGGTCTCTGGGGTGCGTATATTGCCCCTGCGGGCTCTATTCTCAAAAGCTTCCAAGCAGACCAGAGCCGCTTCCAATTCCTTTTTTAGGTCTGAGAGGTGGTTCTGTTCGTGGTTCTCCAGAACCGTAGCAGCCACATCCATTTTGTCCTCCAGGTCATCGTTAGTCCATGGCAGCATGCATGCATGTGGTAGTAGTATGCTACCATGTTGGAACCAGGAAAACGGAAAATTGAGCAAACACTTACCATAATTTTTCCTTTTCTGGCACCAATCCATGACAGCATAACACCACACATGAGTTGCCATATTGATACCAGGGAAATTGAAAATTATATCAAATTTTCCTTTCCTGGTGCCAATCCATGGCGGTATACTACCATATGTATGCATGCCATGGATTTGTGCCAGGAAAGGAAAATTATGGTATTTTATAATTTTTTTTTTTCTACTTGAATGCCACTCATTTTAAGTTTGACACAATACACCATTCATTTTCATACTGTCAGGGGAATTCATAAAGGGTGTCCTTGGATTTTTGCCAGAAAAGGAAAATCACGGTATGTGATTCAATTTTCCATTGTTGTATGTGAACAAGATTCTGCTCTGTGTCTCCTTCAGTAGATGTTTAAGGTGGAGAAAGTGACAGATTCCTTTTGCACCTGTTCACATCAGTGCGACTTGTCATTGGATTTGAAGCTTCAATTCGCATGACAGGTCGCACCCTATTGTTGGCAATGGAACCGTTCAAATTGGTGTGACTCCAACTTTGTGGTGCTGCACTGATTTGAAAAAAAAAAAAAATGTTTTTCTCTGCGATTTCAGGTGCGACTTGTATAGACACCTGTGCATGAAGTTGCACAGATGTCCTACAAGTTGCACCTGAAGTCGCTCTAAGATGCATCTTTTGAAATCATGCGACGATTGATGTTGATGTGTGAAGTGATGTTGCAGGATTTCAAAGTAGTTTTCAGTATGAATCAGCGCTGACAGTAGATGACTTTAAAACACCTCCACACATAGATACAAAGCTACAAAAAAATGCAAAGGAAAAAAATGTAAATAAAAATATTTTAAAGTACATACATGAAAAACTTGGCATCTAAACTGACTCCAAAGACGTAGCCTACTGATTGAATGGAAACAATAACTTTCATTAATTAGCACAGTTCAGTATTTCTGCTTTGTATTAATAGAAGTTCCCTGATTAATTTTGCTTGGTTGCTTTTTAACTCACAACATCACTAAACTCTTTATTAGAAGAAAATGCAGCCAGCATTATAAAATGGCAAATACTGTGTAACAGTTTTTGTACGGGTTCCTTGTTGAAATACTTGCAGGTAATATAGTATAATATTTGGATGAAACTCAGCATTTTCATCTCTTCTGTCTGCAGGTCCGGACTCTTGGAGAAAGGGTCGTTCTTTATGTGCTGAACCGAATTATTTATAGAAAGAAAGAGATGGAGAGGGACGAGGTCCCCTTTCTCTGTCACAGCAGCTCTGATTATGCCAAGATTCTATGGAGGGAAGGAGAAGCCATTGGATTTTATTCTGTGAAGCCTGCAGGTCTCGTTTTATGCGTTCTTCAACAAAAGTTATTTTTAAAATGACTGAGTAGTATAGAACTATTAATTAAAGCAACTTCAGCAAAATGGGGCGAGACAGATTATTGGTTAAAGCTGAACTCCTGGCTAAATACCCAGATGCAACCCTCTAGACTTCACAAACATTTAACCCTTGCAGTGTGGAGTGACCCAAGTACTGGGGTTCTTTTGTTGTGCTCAGAGTACGGCTTTAAAAGTAGTGAGCATAGGGTGATTGTTTATGCCTTTTTTTTATGTAAAGAGAGCCTGTCACCACTGTTTACAATGTGTGCTAGATACATTTCTATATTCCTCGCAGTGACCACTAGTGCAGAGGTCTCTCTGCACTACTATGAGTACAGAACCTTCGGAGTCTGGCTGTTATTCCAATGTGATAGCATCATGGTTGTTTCATCTCCTGAGGTATGTAGAAGCAGGTCCTGGGAGTCCTTGCCCATTAGAGAAGGGAAGGGGTCTGCGTAGGGGAGTCAGGAGCATCAGGTACAGGAGGAGTGGCCTTCTCCATAGTGGGTTCCATGTTGGTTGTGTTCACCTCATGGGGGCCTGGGGGCTGGGGAGTAAAATAGTCCACCACTATCGAGCTACCAGTGTCCCATACCGTGAGGTTTTTTTTGCCACTTTTCAGTGCAGTATTTGGGTTTGCTGGAAGACTGGAAGACCAGGCTGAGATGAGCTCTGGAGTGTAGCGTTCTCATGCTGCCATCATGAGACCATGTACCTGTAATACTGTAATTTTGATATATAAAATTTGAGAAAGCTTTCTATAAAGTTTGCAGTGAAAATATCCTGATGTTGAAAATCTGTGAAAAGGCGATAGTGAGCAAAAACTGAAAAACCTAATGAAGCTGACAGTAAATAGCTTTCCTTTGAGTCATCTTTTGTCTTTTGAGTATATCAATATGTAGAGCAGGGATGGGCAACTGTGGCCCTCCAGCTGTTGGTGAACTACAAGTCCCATCATACCACTGCCTTTGGGAGTCATGCTTGTAACTGTCAGTTTTGCAATGCATCATGGGACTTGTAGTTCTACAACAGCTGGAGGGCCACAGTTGCCCATCCCTGATGTAGAGTATAATAACTTTAAACACTGGATTACTGGAGCAAGTCCAGTTTGCTTCCATTAAACTTTGTCTTAAGGTCTATTTTTTTTTTTTTTTTTTTTTTAATGCTGTGTGAATGTCTCAAGCATTCACTCTGCTGTCAAAAATATTCCCTGTATTTTGCTTAATATGTTTGCTTCTTATGATCATGAATGGCCATAATACAGTATTTTCCTGATTGAGGTATTTTAGGGAAATAACGCTTTATGACCACTAGATGGAACCAAGGATTGTTGGAAATAAACGTATTTGTCAAAATTCAGGATTATTCATGACAGCTGAGTGAATACGTGAGACATTTAAACAGCATTTTTTTTATAACTAGACCCCTTTGTATCCTTAAGCATATTTTCTATGGTGCTTTCCATAGAGAGTTCATCAGAGTCAATGTGGTTTATGGTGATGTATGAGACATTTAGGAAATGCAGGTCTTCTTTCCATCTCTTCTTAATTCAGATTTAATTAATTCTGTGCTGTAAAAATTGACATCAAGCAACAATTTAAAGTCAACTGAATGTTTTTACTGTGGAATATACTATTGTAGAACTGTGACCTACAGTATATACCGGAGATCCCAACTCCTTCCCCGCCATACGTGATTAGCTGTTTCACTCTCACGGCTATATTTTATATGTATTCATTTAGCATGCTTTACAGTATTTGTAGAAGGAGGAGGAATGAGACTTCCTTACTTGGCTTGTTGGTAGTATGCTGTACCAGCAGCTCTATCAGGTAGTAATGTATGTGTTTTTTCTTTCAGGAAGTATATGTCCCATGTATCTTACCCAAAGTTACACACTTCCAGTACTTGATACCATGTTTGTTAGGAAGCGATTTCAAGGTGAAGATTTTACTTTGCAAATGTTGGAAGATTATGTAGACTCCTTCACAGAAGAAACACTTGGCCTAAGGTATCCTCTGTCACCTACAATGCATGCAGGTAACCTTCTACCAGGGTTTTCCTAGTTCCTTATAGAAATCATGAATATCTGAAAACCTTTGGGCTTATTACTGTTATCACTTCATAAAAATTCAAAATTTAATTTTTCACCTAAACTCAAGAAAAAAATAGTTTGCAATATATTTGGCATCATGCTTCAGTGTGTACTGTTTACCACTTCAAGTGGAATTGAACCCTCCTATCCTTTGCAGCTGAGGACGGTGCCATCCTAGGTCCCTCTTTAGATGTGCAGTAGCCAAGGTGCTGTGCATGTGATTAGCTAGGACACCAGCAATTTGAGGGCTAGAAAGCTCAGCTGACATGAGCACCTTGTACTTTGCAAATACTTATTGACAGTGGTGGATTTTGGTTGTGTGCTGCCATAGGCAAGAGCAAAATTGGGCACCCCCCTCCCCAATGTGGTGGTGGGGAAGGATTGGAGAGAGAGAGAGAGAGAGAGAAAGATTCCAGCACTCACCCACCAGCCACCCTGGGAGCCATGATCAAGAAAGCTCAACATCTTCCTTCTGCATTGATTATTATTACAGGTACTTACAGTATATAGCGCTGTCAATTTACGCAGTGCTTTACACATGTAAATATATATATATTGTACATTCACTTCAGTCCCTAACCCTCAAGGAGCGTACAAGGTCCCTAACTCACATTCACACATATTAGGGCCAATTTAGACAGGAGCCAATTAACCTACCAGCATGTCTTTGGAGTATGGGAGGAAACCTGAGTACCAAGAGGAATCCCACACAGGTACAGGGAGAACATGCAAACTCCAGGCAGGTGGTGCCGTAATTGGGATTTGAATCAACTTCACTAGTACTGCCAGGCGGAAGTGCTAACTATTTAGCCACTGTGCTGCCCACTGATCTCTGACAATGATCCGGGATTGTGACTCAGACACTCTTCAAAAGCCCACACTGCTGTGTCTGTGTCTGACCTGCTCCTCATCCTCAGTCATCGGCTGCCATGTGTGTCACATTTATTATTATTGCAGGTACTTATATATTATATAGCGTCATCAATTTACGCAGCACTTATATATATATATATATACAGTCATGGCCGAAATTGTTGGCACCCTTGATATTTCTCCAGGAAATCATGTATTTCTCACGAAACGTATTGCATTAACACATGTTTTGCTATACACATGTTTATTCCCTTTGTGTGTATTGGGACAAAACAAAAAAAGGGAGGAAAGAAAGCAAATTCGACATAATGTCACACAAACCTCCAAAAATGGGCTGGACAAAAGTATTGGCACCCTTTCACAACTGCGGATAAATAAGAATGTTACAAGCATGTGATGCTCCTGTAAACTCACCTGGGGCAAGTAACAGGTGTGGGCAATATAGAAATCACACCTGAAAGCAGATAAAAAGGAGAGACGTTCACTTAACCTTTGCATTGTGTGTCTGTCTGTGCCACACTAAGCATGGACAACAGAAAGAGGAGACGAGAACTGTCTGAGGACCTGAGAACCAAAATTGTGGCAAAATATCAACAATCTCAAGGTTACAAGTCCATCTCCAGAGAACTAGATTTGCCTTTGTCCACAGTGCGCAACATTATCAAGAAGTTTGCAACCCATGGCACTGTAGCTAATCTCCCTGGTCGTGGACGGATGAGGAAAATTGATGAAAGATTGCAACGCAGAATAGTCCGGATGGTGGATAAGCAGCCCCAAACATGTTCCAAAGACATTCAAGCTGTCCTGCAGGCTCAGGGAGCATCAGTGTCAGCGCGCGAACTATCCGTCGACATTTAAATGAAATGAAACGCTATGGCAGGAGACCCAGGAGGACCCCACTGCTGACACAGAGACATAAAAAAGCAAGACTACAGTTTGCCAAAATGTACTTGAGTAAGCCAAAAGCCTTCTGGGAAAACGTCTTGTGGACAGATGAGACCAAGATAGAGCTTTTCGGTAAAGCACATCATTCTACTGTTTACCGAAAACGGAATGAGGCCTACAAAGAACAAAACACAGTACCTACGGTAAAATATGGTGGAGGTTCAATGATGTTTTGGGGTTGTTTTGCTGCCTCTGGCACTGGGTGCCTTGACTGTGTGCAAGGCATCATGAAATCTGAGGATTACCAAAAGGATTTTGGGTCGCACTGTAGGGCCCAGTGTCAGAAAGCTGGGTTTGCGTCCAAGATCCTGGGTCTTCCAGCAGGACAATGACCCCAAACATACGTCAAAAAGCACTCAGAAATGGATGGCAAAGAAGCGCTGGAGAGTTCTGAAGTGGCCAGCAATGAGCCCAGATCTAAATCCCATTGAACACCTGTGGAGAGATCTTAAAATTGCTGTTGGGAAAAGGTGTCCTTCCATAAAGAGACCTGGAGCTGTTTGCAAAGGAAGAGTGGTCCAAAATTCCGGGTGAGAGGTGTCAGAAGCTTATTGATGGTTATAGGAAGCGACTGATTTCAGTTATGTTTTCCAAAGGGTGTGCAACCAAATATTAAGTTAAGGGTGCCAATACTTTTGTCCAGCCCATTTTTGGGGTTTTGTGTGACATTATGTCATATTTGCTTTTTCATGCCTCTGTTTTATATTTGTTCCAATACATACAAAGGGAATAAACATGTGTATAGCAAAACATGTGTTAATGCAATACCTTTTTTGTGTGAAATACTTGATTTTCAGGAAAAATATCAAGGGTGCCAACAATTTCGGCCATGACTGTATATATATATATATATATATATATAGTACATTTACATCAGTCCCTAAACGTCAAGGAGCGTACAATCCAAGGTCGCTAACTCACATTCATACATACACATACTATGGCCAATTTAGAAAGAATCCAATTAACCTACCAGCATGTGTGTGGGAGAAAACCAGAGTACACAGAGGAAACCGACGCAGGCACAGGGAGAACATGCAAACTCCATGCAGGTGGTGCCGTGGTTGGGATTCAAACTGACAACCCTAGTACTGCCAGGCGGAAGTGCTAACCATTTAGCCACTGTGCTGTCCGTTTGCATTAAGACCCAGACAGCTTACCCATGCTTTTATCCATAACAGCAGGATCACTTTGATGCCAACCCCACCAGCTTTTTACACTTACCTTTGATTTCCTGCCCTGCAGCTCCTTGTTGTATTGGGAGCAAGAACAAGATTCTCTGTATAAGCTGGATGTCACCACTTAGAGCTTACACAGGGCTGAGAACTATCTCCCTGCTTTCAATTGGCAAAGTTAGGAGCCTGAGCAGCCAGTTGCCAATTACCAGCACTGTCAGATGAGCAGGAGTGAGCCACATGCTCTGCTAAACCCTCAGGTATAGAGTATGTCACTTTGTTTGCCCAGGTTAATGGTTAAGTAGGTGAGCAAAGGGGGGTTATCTAGTACAGCTCGGGGGCAGACGTTAACTAAACCAGTGGGAAACTGGCAGTCCTGACAGTGTTATAGTTTGTACTAAACTATCAATAAGGAAACACTGCACACTGACAGTTCCAGGTGTTTGAGGAGTAAAGAGTGGCCTCAGCCCCAGCACCTCCCAAAAGCCATCTGGTGCATTTTGCCCTGGTAGGTGGGACGAAAAGCGTCAGAGACATGGCTTTCAGGAGTAGCTGAGGATGGGGCTGCTCTATTCTCCTCATACACCTGCAGCCGTCCATGTGCAGCATTTTTTAATTGTTTGTTGCAGCGCTCTCTGGATGAACATACTCACACCAACTCCCTTTCAATAGTGGGAGCATTGACACTTGGAGCAGCGCTCTATGAAGTTTATGTTGTAACAAACTATACCGCTTTTGCATTTGCTGGACAGCTTGGTCTGCTATAAAATGTAGAGTAATATTTAAATGAAGTCATATAAAATAAAAAAAAATCATATACTAAATACTTTGATTATAGGGTCCATTTTAAGACACTGTTTAGGAAATATAAATGATTTCACTTATGTAAAACACAGTGGTGCCTTCTGTGAAGCTGACAGTACACATTAAAAATGAATGAGACTGGAAGAAACAGCTGGGAGGATAACCCTGCATGAGGTATTGAAAGCTCTGTACCATGGCTTGCACTTCATAAAATGTGGGCTGTAGTGTGCATACACAAGCAATATCTGCCTTTATGGGCCTCTGTGTGTTTTAAAGACCAACTCTGAGCACAAAGAAGTGGGAAACTGGAAGGCTGTTACTGGAATACAAACAACAAAATGTCTTAAATAGCATCATCATCCTTCACTTTGCTTTGTACAAATGAAATTACAATTTTTATTGTATTTTTTTTATAATTTGTAGTCTTTATTCAGCTTTTCAGGATAAGTCAAAGGAAAGTTACATCAAAGGAAAAATATATATATTATATCACTGCATATTAGTAGTTTCTTATCTAATACAGGTATAGGTATGGGGAAGTAGGATAGTGTAGAAGTTTCAGCATCATAAGGGAAGGAGGAGAGAAGGTAAAAAAAAAAGTAAATCCAAAATTTGCAAAATATAAGATATAGAGTAATAACGTGCCTCAATATACAGTCAGCTCCATAAATATTGGGACATGGACACAATTCTAACATTTTTGGCTCTATAACACCACCACAATGGATTTGAAATGAAACAAACAAGATGTGCTCTAACTGCAGACTGTCAGCTTTAATTTGAGGGTATTTACATCCAAATCAGGTGAACGGTGTAGGAATTACAACAGTTTGCATATGTGCCTCCCACTTGTTAAGGGACCAAAAGTAATGGGACAGAATAATAATCATAAATCAAACTTTCACTTTTTAATACTTGGTTGCAAATCCTTTGCAGTCAATTACAGCCTGAAGTCTGGAACGTATAGACATCACCAGACGCTGGGTTTCATCCCTGGCGATGCTCTGCCAGGCCTCTACTGCAACTGTCTTCAGTTCCTGCTTGTTCTTGGGGCATTTTCCCTTCAGTTTTGTCTTCAGCAAGTGAAATGCATGATCAATCGGATTCAGGTCAGGTTATTGACTTGGCCATTGCATAACATTCCACAT